ATTTAATCCAGCAGAATGGTGGGAGATATATGGTACTGATGCACCTCACTTAAGGAGGATAACAATCAAGATTATCTCCCAAACATGTTGTGCTACTGAGTGTGAGCGAAACTGGAGTACGTTCCAATGGCTGCACGCTGCTAGGAGGAATTGACTCGCTTCGGAGAGGCTTTATAAGCTAGTTTACGTTACAACTTAAATCTCCGAGAGCAACAACTAAGAAGGAAGCTTGAAGACTACGGGTTGATAGACTTGAACACAATATTTGTCACAGATACAGCAGAACAATGACTAGTAGAGGAAGAGGAGCCAGTGTTGCACAAAAGAGTGTTCCTTGAGGCTATCGGTGAGAAAGATTATGAAGATGGTGATGAGCAGCATGAAAGAAGAAGCAGCCCGCCAACATATCCACAATTCGTTGGAGATGTCGGTGGTGTTGTACCTAACAAGGGAGAGTGGGAAGGGGGTATAAGGAAAAATAAGAGAGATGATGATTTTGAGGCCACCCTATCCCAACCAAATTATTCACATATCGAGTCCCAACAACAAGACGATAGGGGCAAGCACAACAGTGTAGGTGAGCATGAAGGATGAACAAGTTTCGGGGATTTTGGATTAGGACCGCAACAAAACACTAAAACTCAAGGATTTGGTTATAGTCAATTACCCACTAATTTGGATCATTTGTTTCTAGATCGAGTCAATGAATTGTCACGCGAATTCAATCAATGGCACCAGCGTGACCAAGATGAAGGACGACACCGTCATTCATTTTGGTATTAGGTAGTATTTTACGAATTGTATGCTTTATTGTAATCCATGGTGATGATATACTTCATGATGATAATTCTATGTTTCTCCTTTTATGTGATGTAAATTTAATGGTTAACAATAGTTCATACAAGGAAAGAGCATCTCAATATTCGCATATTGATATAAAAAAATGAAAGTTCTTAATGGAGTACCCCCATTTCTTATTGAATTCTTAAAAAAAATATTTATAATGAATTTTAATAATTTTTCTGGATTTTTTTTAGACTAAATCCAACCGATTCGGCCGATTCCCGATCCGAATGGGTTTTTGGGGTGCACGATCTGGGGCACCAATCCGTTTTTTAAACCACTACATATAACTAACATCCCCACCCTTGTTCTTAGATAGGAAACAATAAAAACATTATAGAGAATAGCCCCATTATATGCCACCATAAACGTTAATGCACATCAGCGTATCTTATAACTACATTTATAATAATGCATTCTATAAATTTTCAAAAATCGAACAAAAATGCAATTGATTATGATTCTTATATGTGGTTTATCTGAATAGTATAACATAAACTATATTATTTTTTGTACATATTTTATTGTATGGACGAGTCATGTTGGTAATTTTCTGCGTGCCGTGTCAGGCATTGACAGCTGTGTTGTTCTCCATATAACACTAATGTGAAGTCATACATACATATATGCACACACACTTATAATACATGCATAACAGAACACTGAACAATGAAACATGGCGCAATCCACTCCCTTGTTCATTACCAATTGGAAGGACATGGCCAACTACTATAGAGCAGCGACATATCATCGACAGACAATAGCATTGCCTTTTGTGAGAATGCTTTAGTGAAATTATTTGCTAGTTCTTCAGTCCGCTTCTACCTTGTTTCTAACAAGATGGCAGTCAGTTTCAGTATGTTTTGTTCCTCATGATAGTGGATCTGAGGAATGCGCATGTTACCCATAATATTACAAAATAAGTGTACCAGATTCACAAATTTCAACTTCCAAATGTTATAGTACATGAGCCAAACTAATTCACCTAAAGCAAAATTCTGTGCCCTGAATTCGACTGTCATTTGATCCAGAAAGTGGAACTACCTAGTTTATATCAAATTACCAAGCAGCACTCCAGAATGATGCTTGATCTTCAAATATGAAAACATCTTAGAGAGAAATCGTATGGCAAATATTTCACTGTGTAGAATTCAAATAAGAAAACATCTTAGAGAGCACATATTTAAATGTGTAGAATTTAACAAGCTATATACAAACTGCTCAAAACAAAAAATAAAACATCAAAACAGAATGCCAAAGCTTTGGAATAATGAATTCAATATATTTCCACAAACAAGCACTATTTGGGATGCAGTTTTGTCATAAATTCTTACTCGATATCTCAAATATGCTTCAAGGAATACTATTGCGGCACACAAATATGAGAGTTTGGGTTTCCATCAATAAATGACATTCTTTTTCCAAATACATATAAATGACCTCAAATAAGAGACACTGGAAAGTTTGAAGGGAAATCAGAACATAAAAGAAGTCCACAAGGGTGCAATCTGTACAGTCAAATAAACACAGGCCTAAGAAACTTATGGTCTAAAATCTTCAAGAAAAGAAAGTAAACATCGATAGTGATCAACATCCTTGTGAAAATCATCCACTTGTAACTGACAGTCTCCCAAGATTTGATGACTTACTATTTGAACGTAGGATCTGAACCTAGCATTGATACCATGCAAACTCTGCAGTATCCCTAGTACAAGTTATATGTGAGAGGGACATAATGATTAGGTCATCGCTATAAGAAGTCACATGCTTTCTAAACTTAACACTTTCCTTAACTACAGTATTTATTCATTTCCTTGTACTCGATATATATCCTTTTCTATATGACTAATTCAAGAAGAATAAGTCTTGCTAAGTAACATAGATCAATTCTTTCTGAATTACCATTAGAAATCTCTTCTGATAAACTAATATGTTCTTAAGACTTATTTAATAAAGATTAGGAGCTCCTACAGAGTACATATGTGTGTTCTATAGCCTGCCCTATGCTGATATTTTTTTTTGTAAATCAGTATGTTTTAACTGAAAAGAACAAAAGTTGAACATTTTACTGATCCCCACCCATAAATACCTAAATCTTCTGGAAAGTATAAAAAGATCTCTTGATAGACAACAGCATGGATGGGAATAGACTTTTTGTATGAGTTATTTCAGGCTGTATTGAAGTTCACATCCCCACCCCCGATTCTCCCGTTATAAAATCGGAAAATATACCTTAAAATAGCCCTCTAGTACAGACTATGTACTTATCTCCCCAAATTTCATTATAGAAGTGGAATCAGTTTAATAAAGGGAATATCTACCAAATCTCCCTCATTTCTTCCCCTCCCTCCAAGCCCCAAGTCGTTCACCTCAACAGAAATTGGTGAAGCCACTTCCCTTTTCCATTCACATGCACAATAGGATTCGTGCAGCTGAGCTTCTGATGATGATGATGATGATGATGATGATGATGATGATGATGCACAATAGGAAAGGAGAAAAAAAAACAATAAGTAGTCAGGTGCAGTCTTAATGTACTAAGAAGTAAGAATCCAAACCCACCAAAAATTATTGAAATTGTTCACCGCGAAGCATGAAAGATGGTAAAAGTAATGCCTAATTAGTTCAACATGAGAAATGGTCCCATGGAATTGCAAAGACAATCATAAAACTCAAAGCACTGAATCAAGTTAATATAACATTCCACATGAATTTTTAATTCATGCCATGAATTCAAGTTAGCTCAAAACAACATGAACAGAAGAACGACTAAACAACCACAACAACAATAAAAATAGTGGAAACACTTACTGCAGCATCGAATCGCTGAACTGCAGTGACAGGGAAATAGCTACCACGCTCCAGACGACCCTAGAAATTGAAGAATAGATCAAAGAATACCAATGTCAAGAAATTATGAAGTTAAGAGAGCCTAGGATTTAAAATATATAGAGATGAAAACAGAAAATGGGGTGCTTCTTATCAAAAAAAGGAAAAAGAAAAATATGGGGGGCTAAAAGTAGGTCTCACAGCCAGATGGTAAGCATAATTCGAGTTAGAAAGAGAAGAAAATAAAAGCAAGTCTACTGCATAAGTTGTAATTCAGTTGTGGGGCGACCTCGTTTTGGCTGTACAGTAGAGTTAGAAAGAGAAGAAGATAAAAGAAAAGAAGAAACCTGTGTAGTAAAGATGAGCATCCAGGTTCGGCCCGGGGACTCTGTTCCTCCAAGAATGGAGAAAAAGTGAGTGGGGTCAACTTTGGCCTTCTTAATGAGGGAGAGAGCAGCCGATACCTCATCGGCCGCCACCTTCCTTGTCTTGGCAGCATTCTTCAGAACCCTCACGCTTTCCTCTACACCCTTCACACACCCAACTCTTCAAAACTTAGCAAAAAAACCAACAAAAACACAGGAGAAAAAGATACAGAGAGATGGTGAGTTATGGGTGACCTGTTGTTGTTGAAGGGGAGAAGTGGTGGTGAATTGGTCTGGGTTGAGAACCGCCCTCGCCTGTGTCAGAGTCTTAGAGAGATTATTATAAGTATGACGATTTTTTAGAGTTCCAAGATTGTGAAATGTGATGCGAGGAGGCAGAAATAAGTACTGTTCTTGTTTTTTATGGTGGTGGTGGTGGTGGTGGTTATGAAGAGAGAAGAGTTTGCAGAGGCCGAAGCCATGGTTGAGTTGGTGGGTGCAAATCATTTCTTTTTTGTTTTTTGTGAGACGCGCATGTTTGGAATGGGATGATGATGTCCATCTCTCATTGTATGGGGATCGATTAGATATCCAACATCCGCACTCTATGCCTGCTGCTCAACCTGGAGCCCGGTCGGGTCAGATGTCCTGGGCCTGGGCCGATCTGGAATTAATCGGCAAAAATTAAAAAATTTATATAGAGCCGAGGTTCTAAACAATCAAATTAGAGCCCACCTCAAAAATTTCACTAGAAGAGGTTGTTTCGATGCCCCAATATTCTTAAATTGATCATCCTGACATCAAGATGCGCATACATGAGAAAAAAAAAGATTTCGAGTTTTGGAAAGAGTGCATCTTGTAATGCCTTTTTGAACTTTCCAATTTTGAAGTTTTCATAGATTTGCCCGATCTACACTATTTTTTAAGCTTTCAATTCTATAATTAAAGATGAAAATATATTTTAAGGCTATGACAAAGATTTTCCAATATTGAAACCACATTTCTTGAAACTATTTGAAGGTGGGCTCTAATTTGATTGTTTAGAGCCTCGACTTTGTACAAATTGCAGCCATACTTAATTAGTTCAATAAGTTTTGTAATTTTATCATGAGGTCCACTCTGTTGATGTATTTTATTTTTGGGATGTATATGATAAGATTATTTACTTTTGGTACAGGAACGTCATCATCATTATTGATCGGTAGCTGTGAAATCGAGTGGTTGGTGTTGTATTATTGAATCGACATAATGTCTAAAATAGAATTTCTCGAAAGTTGTGATGCATTTCAATCTGTCAAATTTCACATTCAATGGCTAGGAGTAATTGTAACCTTCTTGTATTAAATGATCTTATAGTATATATCCTTTTTTTTTTGTTCTCAATTTTGTGTTTGGTTCAATGTTTCAAACGTGGAACGGCTTACTTTAACAATTTATTTTTCTTTTAAATTTGTGGGGCTTTTGTTGGGATGTGATGCCAAAATCACTCCCATATGACATTCTTTCCTATATAAGGGGTATTTTTGTTATAGAATAATGCCCTTTTATGGAAGCCCATAAAAGACATTTGTAGATAGAAAAAATATAAGGAAATGTGTAGAGAAGCTTCGGGAAAGAAATTGAGATTTTTTGCACAAACCCTAGCATTATTGCGACATTGTATTTGGCCGGCTTTTCATCGCCATTTCTTTGTCGCGACGGTCTTAGCCGATGGTGACGAAGAGAGGAGTTGATTGACCGTAGTATTATGGTAGGAAATATCTATTTGAGATTTCTTTGTCATTGTATAAGGTAATTTCTATAAAACCCCAAGTAACTTCCTTCTATTGATAGTAAATGCATGGTGAACCATGTAACGTTGTGTGCGCCTTCTATTTATACTTGTGTTGTGGTTTGATGATTTCTCATTTTACTTGTTTTTCTTGTTTATATATTTTCTCAAACATATTGTACACACTATTGTTTTTGGGTTTTGTTTGGGTGTTGGAATCATTATTGTGAGGTACTCACCACATCAAGTAGGGATTTGGGTTATCTTGATTTGCCAACAAGTTGTATCAAAGCTCAAGGAAGTGGTGTAGTATTTTTTGGAAAATGACATCTCATAATTTTAAGGTAAAGAAGTTCAATAGGAAAGATGATTTTGAAATTTGGAAATAAGAAGAAAAAAAAAGAAAAAAAGATTTATTGGTACATAAAGAGCAACACAAGAACTTGAAAAAGATAAGAACCAGGTAAATATGATTGGTAGTAATTGGGAGGATCTTGATATGAAAGCATGGGTCACTATTTGTTTATGTTTAGTAAATGAAATGTTGTTTAATATTGTTGGGGAAAAGAAGATAAAAGATTTGTGAGAGAAATTAAAAAGTTTATATCAAACAAAATCTCTCCGAAATCGAATTTTCTTAAAAAAAAATTGTATTCTTTGATAATGAAAGATGGTACAAGCGTGTCTTAACAATTAAATAAATTCAATAATATCATTTGTCAACTTGAAAGTATTGGTGTGATAATAGATGATCAAGATAAGATAGTCACCTTACTTTATACATTGTCAGAATCTTATGATAATCTTGTTACTACATTGAGTTGTATTAAAGAATATTCTCTTAATTTAGGCTCAGTTTATATTGCACTTCTTGCTTATGAACTTTGAAAGAACGCATTGATGGATGATTCGATGGCTTCAAGGATGGATGTCCTTATAGTAAGAGGTCGATTGGATGAACAGGTTGGTTCATCAATAGATTCCTCAAGTAGTTGATCAAAGTCGAGAGAGTCTTATGATGAAGGTTGTTGGCTTTGTAGCTGCAAATAAAAAGGAAAAATCCCTCGAAGTGTTTCGGTTGGGAAATGGAAGGGCAAAGTGCGTTTAAGAATGAGGTTTGAAGAATCAACATCCAGTTCTATTGAAGATGAGGTGTTGATGGTGGGATTTAATCTCACGTACTATCAAAGTTAGGCTCTTGATAGTGGAGCTACACATCATGTGCCAACATAGATTGTGTTTTTATGCATATGAGTCATGTGAGAGCGGTTTAGCATCAATGGGAAATAATTCATCAAAATGAAATAATTCAATGAATAAGACGATTGGAATGGGCACGATTCACATAAAGATGTACATTGGGATGGTTCAGACACTTAAAAATATGAGATATGTGTCGAATTTAAAAAATAGCTTGATTTCACTTTCTTCTACAGAAATGAAGGGCTATAATTTACCAACCAAGGAGGAATGCTCAAAGTTTAAAAGGGGGCTCTAGTTATGATGAAGGGAGTATGAGAAAGAAACTTATATAAATTGTTCGATAGCACAATTGTAAATGAAAAGGTAAATTTGACAGTAGATAAAGATGAAGCTCAAAAGGAGATGGAAGATCTTGGTGGCAAAAAGCAAGATCTTGTTGAAGATATTCGACAAGGTAGAGAAATTGAAGATTTGTAACTTCAACAAGGGAATGTAAAGCTAAAAACACCACATGAATTTCCTTTGGGCTAATGTTTAAAACTTTGTGAACGAAAAGCCAACGTGATTCGAGTGTTGCCTGCTACTCTATTATTGGTTTTGATTATTGTCATGCTCTCTATAAAATTTGTCATTTCACTTGTTTATTATTTTTATGATTAACTTATGTCTAGCCTAGGAAGAAAATGTTGGAATTGAGTGAAACGGGTACTTCGGAATATAAGCAGTATGGGCAAGTATTACCAAGGTTTTGAACATAAACAAGGCTTCATGGGAGAGACTTATGTAAGGGATCTCTGTGATATGATATCAAGCATTGGTTGTAGTAAAAAATGATTCATCTAGGGGTAGATGTCCTCAAGAATTCAAGGAGAATGGTATTGAAGAAAGTGGAGTTTGCATAAGAACAATAAACACGAAGGAAGATGAGCAATGCATACTTATGGAAGTTATTGAATTAGAGTGCTTGCGGATTTGGCTAAGTTCTCTAGGTACTTCAAAAAGGGAATAACCAAATGGTTAGCAAAGCGATGGTGTGATTTTATATCAAGGTAGAGATTATTGGGATGTGATGTCAAAATCACTCCTATATGGCATTTCTTCTTTCATGAGGGGTATTTTTTTCATAGAAGAATGACCTTTTATGGAGGCCCACAAAAGGCATTTTTAGGTAGAGAAAACATAAAGAAAGATGTAGATAATTTTGGGGGAAAGAAATTGGGGTTTTTTGCATAACACTAGCATCATTATGGCCTTGTATTGGGTTGATTTTTCATCATTTCTTCACAGCGACAGTCTTGATCAATGGTGACGAAGAGTGAGTCGATTGATAGTTGAATTATGGTAGGAATATGTATTTGAGCATTCTTTATCATTTTATGAAGTAATCTTTACAAAACTCCAAACTTGTAAATTGCTTCTATTGATAATGAATGCAACATTGCCCCTTGTCATGAATGTAACCCATTTTGGGTGAACCACGTAATGTTTTTGTGTGCTTTCCACTTCTACTTGTGTTGTGGTTTGGTAATTTTTCATTTTACTTGTTTCTCTTGTTATATATATATATATATATATATATATATATATAA